ACCTCACCAAATGCATGCAAATAAACCCACAGTTTTTTCTTAATATTGATTTCATTTTACATACACGTGTGAGTGTTTCCAATTGAAATTTTTTATTGTTTATCAAATAACGAAAATATTTCCATTTGTGGTTAGAATCTGAAATCATACTCTATTGGAAAAAAATACAGTGGGAACTAGGTGTATTTCAATGTATTACGTTATTTTTCATTTTGAAGCACTAAAGTACATTTTATTAGTATTCCCTTTGTCAAATTAAATCGCAAAATTGTTTTTAAAAATCAATAACCTATGTTTGTTAGAAATGTTAAGATGTACAAAATTTCAAACAAATCAGATTTAGGACTTAAAAATCTTGTTTGATATGTATTAGACGTGGTGGACCGACAAAATTATACATCGAGTTTGATAGAAATATTAACATTTGGGACTGTCTTCATTAATTATAGTTTGTTTCTCTAAAGGCAATATCATCATCAGAAATCAATTTCCACAAAGTTCAAATCTAAATGAAGTGACATGCGACCACGCAATGCTCCCATACTACTGCCCACCGCTATTCAAAAATTAATGAAACCCCCAGCCCGCAAGCAGAAAACAAAAAAACAAAAAGACTTTCAAGCACGCAAACATTATTAAAGTCAGTCTGTCAGTCGTTGTTAGTGCTTGCCTGCCTACACACAAACAATGGACAAATTGCAATGGCAGTAAACTGTAATATGAGGCCAGAGAAAAAATGTATGGAATGGAAAAATATACCAAAAATAATTTTCAAATCTCATAAAGCTTTTATTACTCATTAGCTTATAACGTATATTAAAATGGTTAGGAAGCAATTGAAATTTATCCACGACAGCGCAAACAAAAATTCCAATTCCAACCAATTTTTGTCAATTGCGACCACTTATAAATCAACAACTGACCCATTATTTTTACAAGGGCTTGTCGTCTGAAAAAAGGTTTTTATTCTTTTTTCACTAAACATCGATAAATAAGTGGTAAAAAAATTTTATTTTTCCAAAACTATAGATATTTGGAAAAAAATTGCTTACCAAAACAAGTTAAAAGTATCAGTTAGTTTTGCTGATTCCAACAAAGACCTCAGTATCAAATTTGAAGATTCCAGCTTTCCCTTCACGCAATACCAAATTTAGTATCATTTAGTACTTTTCGTACAATTATAGTATACTTTTCCCAAACTACCACCAAATCTCAAACAAATGTACCATCAGATTACTTATATATCAAATTTCAGAATTTTATCTCTATCCCTTCACTCAATACCAAATTTAGTACCATTTTACAATTTTCGTACAATTATAGTACACATTTCCTCTCTATATGTCCAGGCAACACATTAACAGCCATCCCAATACCAAATTTCAAATTTGAAGCACTTTCTGTTCACCCAATATCGAATTGTACCAAATATAGTACTACTTCGTGCACTTGTACACATTTCGAAAACCACTTTTTTATCGCAAGACCCAACACAAAATTTCAAAATTGTAGTTTTATCTGCTCCAAATATGGTACCATTTAGTACAGTTCTCACACTTTCCATTTCCGAAACCGCAAACTTACTTTACAACTTTATTATTTATTTATATTCAAATAACACAGTTGCCTGCCCCTATGGGCTATGGACGCTTCCAAAAACTTCTATACACGACTACTCTCATACCAAATTTCAAGTTTTTAGCCCTATCCTCTCACATAATACCAAATGGTACCAATTTAGCAGTTTAGTAACATTTTAAAACTTTTCGTAACCTTGAAGTTTCAATTTCCAAAAACACTTTGGTACATCTACCCTGCACTCTTTTGTGATTCTCATTCTAAATTCCAGAATTCTAGCTCATTCCGTTTGTCCAATACAAAGTATTTAATTTTTTGTACATGTTAGTACTTTCGTAATGTTTTTAGTACGAACTTCCATAAACACAGCCTTATCACACGCCTACGCACCAAGACTGGCCCTGTGCAAAATTTCACAATTCTAGCGTCAGCTGGAATTTTACATTTTGTTTTTAAATTTTATTGATTGAAAGCTAAAAATGTTGGAAATAGCATCAACTTCTAGAATAAGTTTAGATTTGTTCAAATTGGTCACCTTTGTCACGCATGTTGCTCTGCGGTATTTTGGTACATTCCCGGCGAAGCGCTTGCCAGAGGTGATCGACACTTTGGTATTTTTTAGTGCCAACCTTGCTTTCCAAAAAATACTCCAGACACAATAGTCCGACGGATTGGTATCCGGAGATTTTGGTGGTGACCATTGTGCGCTGGAAATGAAGCGAAGAACCTCATTTTAAAATCATTCTTGGGTGGTGCGTGCTGTGTGCGATGGTGCTGAGTCGTGTTGGAATGTCCAAGGTCTGCGGCTAAAATGTTTGAGTGCCCAGGGCTTTAATACACCCTCCAGAATATTTTCGCGATAATATTCGGCAGTTATTTTGATGCTCGTTCGATTAATACGAGCTGAGAGCGACCATCGGCTGTTATGGCGGCCGGCGCTTGAGTTCTGGTGGCCAAGCGAAGGTGCACATTTTCAGCTGACATCAATGCTTTCGTATGCTTGTAAACAATATAATGAGCTGTCACTGGAATAATTTTAACAGCCGTCGGACGAGTGCTTAGAAATGACAGGAGTCTGAAGTTATTTGCAAGTCTGTATATACAGCGTAATTCAAAATAAGGGGTTAAAATAAGGGTTTAGGATACTGTTTAGTTTATTTTAACTTGTGCCAAAATGCACTTTATGAACCCAGTATTTTGGATTTAATAGGAAACGAAAATGCCAAATTACAAATATTAAATGTCATATGGGGTGAAACATTCGTAATACCGAAATTCAAGGGATATCGCCACATGGGGCTATGTCAGATGATTGACCTTCTTTTGTGAATTTCTAAAGGGATGTTTTATACCTTTAAATAGTAATTTGTTATAATAATGGATTTAAAATCTTGAAAGTACTTAAAATCAATATTCCAAATAACCTACAGCGAAGCTTTCATATTGATATCTGCACGGGCAGTATTTTTGACCGACGTATTCATTGACCGCTATCGTATGGCACTGGACACATTTCCCTACACTGATTGTTTTTTATATTTCGAATAGTTCCAGAGTACCGTTAGAAAGAAATAAAGTGTTTTTATAAGTGTTTTACGTGGGCCAATATTATGACTTAGGCCGACTGCACAGGATGCAATTCGTTGTGTAGAATTTTGAAATCTTCCATAATATATTTAACTAGTATATATTCGATTTTTATACCCTCCACCATACTATGGAGGGTATATTAATTTTGTCATTCCGTTTGTAACTCCTCGAAATACTCATGTCAGACCCAACAAAGTATATATATTCTTGATCAGCGTAAAATTCTAAGACGATTTAGCCATGTCAGTCTGTCTTTCAAATTTGGTATTTGAAGTTCGTAATAGATACTGCAGCATAAAACAGAAAATGGGCCATGTAGGTCCACGTCTTAGTATAGCTCCCATATACCGTAACCCCCGATATTCGGTATTTTGATGATTTTAGCGACATTATTTACCGGGTTTGTTTCAAATTTCGCATGTGAAGTTCGTAATGGATACTTCAGCCCATGCCAAAAAATTGTCTGTGTAGGTCCACGTCTTCGTATAGCCCCCATATAACGGTACCCCCTATATTCGGTATTTTGATGCAGGGCTGTCACAGAAACCATGTCGGTTTTGCTTATTGTCGTTTTTGTAAACCAATGTTGGTTTCATTTGGTGTCATGAAACCAAGTTGGTTTTGTCAATTTCGAATGTAAATAAATCCAATGTTCGAAACAGCTGTTGTTGCTTACATGTGTTGTTTGTTTATTTGTCATTGAAATATCAGTAAAAGTAAAGTAAATAAAAAAGGAATAGGTCGCTATAAATAAAGTAAGATGGTATCAGCAGTGGTAGTTTTTGTGTTGTTGGACGAAGAACGCTCAGAAAAGGTGACGAAAGAAGCTCTTAGAGATTTCTCCAACCCATTGGAGTTGCCGGAGATAGCGTAGGTAAATTTTTTTATTGTGAACTTACTCATAAAGCTGCTTTGCAGATTTATGGTTTATGGTCCTTTAAAAATTCTTTAAAAAATCCTTAAAAAATCCACGTTTATGGTCCTTTAAATATCCTTTAAAAAATCCACGTTTATAGTCCTTTAAAAAAATCTTTAAAAAAATCCACGTTTATGGTCCTTTAAAAAATCCACGTTTATGGTCCTTTAAATATCCTTTAAAAATCGACGTCTATAGTCCTTTAAAAATTCTTTAAAAAATCCACGTTTATCGTACTTTAAAAATTTCGAAAGTGACAGCTTTAAGCAACTTGGTTTATTTCCAATAACAAAACCAATAACATTGGCTTCTATGACAACCAAAACCGATAAAATTCTAATTCGAAAATAAAACCGATAACATTGATTTTCATGACACCAAAGCATGTTTTCTTGTCGTTTTTAAAACCAATAATGACAAAATTGGTTTCTATGACAGCCCTGATGATTTTAGCTACATTATAAACAGATTTATCTTCAAGTTTCGCATTTAAATATTGTAATAACTTATGACAAAAGTTGCCGATGCAGGTCCACGTCGTCGTATAGGCATTCGGTATTTTTAAGATTTTAACAGAATTTTTAACGGATTTTATTTTTTTCTTTGGAAATTGCCAAATTTGTACCAAGTGGTGGAGGGTATTAAAAGTTCGGCCCGGCCGAACTTACAGCTTTTTTACTAGTTTTTTCTAATTATACCTCATATAAATACACAATTCCCATAATCTTTTATTAGCATGTATAGTATTAAGAAATTAACTACAAACATTGCGCCTCATAACATTTTACCCAACTCAATATCAAATAAAAATGAAACAATGAAAAAATAAAATTAAAACCAGTTTTTTTCAATCGCTTGTAGTTTGCAAAACTGTGAAGATGTAAATTTGTCATTTTATGCAACAAAAAAATCTCACCTTATGTTCATCGAATTTTAAAACAAATTCTAAAATTTCTGCTAGTTGTTTGACCAGAGCCTGTTGTGTCTCCAAATGCTGTGTAGGATTTAATTTACCGCCCACCAGTTGACCCAATAGCTTTGGTACGATTTTCTCCAACTCTAACGAGTGTTCATAGCATCGTTTCAGTTTTAATACTAACGGCAGGACGGCTGCCCAGGCTTTTTCTTGGCACTGTGGTGAGGGATCGGCAATGGCTTCACGTATTTCTTTACCAGCACCCTGAAAGGAAACAAAATTGAATGGTATTATTATGTTAAAATATTTATATTTTTTAGATATTATAAATTGAATCACTGCTTCGAGTACTCCTTCACCAAAAGTTGATGCAAAAATGTCACAAAAAGTGAAGAGAAAGCCCTATGTTGTTAAAACTTGGCAAATATCACTTTCCCCACAAAAGGGCAAACATTTTGAATATCAATAATTTTTGTGACGTACATAAAAAAGTGAACACTATATTCTTTACTGCCAATGTTAGAAAATGTTGATCCATTCTTTCGGGTACCAGTCACCCCATTGAGTAGTAAATAATGTAAAATAACTTGAATCACACAAAACTAAGTATAAACAAACAGGAATTTAGAACCATCCACAAACGTCCAAAATATAGAATAATCGTAACACTGAAAATATGTGAAAATAGTCCATAATTTTCTTTAAACTTCACTGATCCATATACTTTTGATATCAGATTAAGAGCGAAAATCATGCTTCCAGTCTATACAAAATCAAGATCTTCCAGGCCAAATAAATCTTGGATTTCTAAATAAAATTTTCATAGATCTTCCAAGGAAAATAAATAGCGGATTTCTAAATATATTTTTCAAGGTCTTACAGGCCACATGAACCGTGGATTTTTAATATCTTTTTCAAGGTCTTCCAGGCCACATAGATCGTGGGTTTATTTTTTTTTGTTTTTTAGGCCGCATAAGCTGTAGATTTTTAAATGACTTCCAGTTGATTTCTAAATTGTGGATTTTTATATCCTCAGCATTATAGCTAAGAGGGTATGTATCACTTGATACGGCCAAAACGTGCCTCATCGAAATAACAGTTTTAGATCCTAGGTCTCTTTGGACCAAATCAGTTTCAGGACATTTGCAATCGATCTAGCGATGTACGTCCGTCCTTCTGTCTGGCTGGTTGGTGCGCACGATAATTCTCAAAGGGAGTATCAGATTTGGTCCAAACTTGGTACATTGTAATATTATTATGAAACTTAGATCGAGTTCGGAGATGGACAATATCGGTCTACTCCTTCTGGTACCTCCCACAAAGAAAGTCGAATTTTTCAAAAAAAAAAAAAAAAAAAAAAAAGTTAAAAAGCAGTAAGTTCGGCCGGGCTGAACTTTGAATACCCTCCACCATTTGGAACAATTTTGAAAATTTTCAAAAAATAGAATCCTTAAAAAATTCTGTTAAAATTTTAAAAATACCGAATATAGCCGTTATATTGGGGTCTATACGACGTGGACATACATAGGCATTGTTTGACATAAGCCATTACCATATTCAAATTCGAAACCTGAAATAAACAGTGAATAATGTAGCTAAAATCATCAAAATATCGTATGTAGGAAGGTACCGTTATATTGGAGCTGTGCGAACACCTGGACCAGGACTTCAAATACGACATCTCAAACAATTTCGGCGAGTTTTGTACTTAAACTCGTCAAAATACCGAATATAGGGAGGTACTGATATATGGGGCCTATACGAAGACTTAGACCTGCATAGACAATTTTCTGTCACAGACTGTAGTTCCCATTACGAACTTCAAATACCAAATTTGAAGCAATTCCGGTGAATAATGTCGCTAAAATCATCAAAGTACCGAATATCGGGAGGTACCGTTATATGGAGGCTATACGAAGACGTGGACCTGCACAGATAATTTTCCGTCTTAGGCTATAGTATCCATTACGAACTTCAAATACCAAATTTGAAACAATTCAATCATCAAAATACCGAATATCGGGAGGTACCGTTATATGGGGGCTATATGAAAACGTGGACCTATATGGCCCATTTACGAACTTAGCATTCTATCTCAATTCGTTCGAAAGATAGCGTGATTACAACAGACAGAGGGACAGACGGACAGATAGGCAGACGGACATCGGCTTAAAATTTTACGCTGATCAAGAATATATATACTTTGTTGGGTCTGACATGAGTATTTCGAGGAGTTACAAACGGAATGACAAAGTTAATATACCCTCCATAGTATGGTGGAGGGAAAAATGCGAAAATAAACAATGCCGGTTCACTCCATTTTAAATGTTTGTAGCTCTTATAAAATGTGGTGTGAAATTCCGATTGTCTTCAAATTACACACATCATAATATTTTTATTAACCGAAGGTCTGGTGTAAAGATGGAATATATCGGCCCACTCCTTCTGGTACCTCCTTAACAAAGGGTCAACATTTTGAATAATTATGAAACTCATAAAACGCAAAATGAGCATCCGATTCCTTTCAAATTTCATACATCTCAATACTTCTATATTTGCAAGATCTGGTGTGAAGATGGAATATATGGAACCAATTCTTGTAGTACCTTAACAACGAAGGATCAACATTTTCAATAATTATAACGTTTATAAAATTTGAGAAAAGAGTCCGATTATCTTCAAATTTCGCACATTTCAATATTTCCACTAACACAAGGTCTGGTATGAAGAACGGATTGAATGGACCACTCCTCTAGTACCTCCCCCACAAAGGGTCAACATTTTGAATAATCATTAAGCACATAAAACGCGAAATGAGCATACGATTACGTTCAAACTCATCACTTGCCAATACTTGTATCAACACAATATGTGTTGTGAAGATGGACAGTATCGGACTACTCCTTCTGGTACCTCCCCCACAACGGTTCAAACTGTTAAATAATTATAACTCTCATAAAACGCGAACTTTTCGAAATGTTATCAAATATCGCATTTAAAGTAAATCAAGTAGTCGACATTAAATCCAAATCTGATAAGTTTTATCAGACTTATGTCAGATACGAAATGGAACAAAATATATTCAAATAACCGAACATTGGCTGAGGGTATGCAGCTGTCGGCAATACCGAGTGATTTTATTTAACTTGTTTAATATATTTTCAGAGTTTTTCATGCAAAAAAAAAACGAGGATTCTAAATATTTTTTTAAATATTTTTTTTATATTGAAAAGTATTTTTTTAATATTTTTCGAGGACTTCATTGATTTATTTAAAAATCATTTTTCAAGGTCTTCCATTTTATATAAATCGTCGATCTTAAAAAATTTCTCTTTTAAAGCCAAATAAATTATGCCATTACCAAATAATGGGTTGAGTACATTTAGCACGAATAACAAAAACACGAATTACAAAACAGCACCCTAACCCCTTATTTTAAAATGGGCATGTCAAAGAAAGTAAGTATTACAAACGTTCACAAGAGCAAATAAATGACTTTACAAATTGAACACTAGATTTGCATTTGTGTTCTTGCTGGCTGGAATTTTGAACCATCGCCCTTACGCCGTTACTCATTAGTATAATAAATGTGAGTTTGCCTGGTAAATTTCATAGGAGTAACACATTATGTCGTCATTATTACTGAGATACTGGTAAGGCAGAGGGTATGTGGCAGACATTACTAGTAATGTGAAATGTGACAGGTACCAAATCTTTGCTGGGCTTGGAGATTTTCTGGCGAAAATAGCTAGTGTGATATTACATTTAAGAATTTCATGACGAAAATAGGGTGGATATGTTATTAAAAACAAATTAAAATGTCCTGAAACGGATTTGGTTCAGAGACCTAGGGTCTAAAACCGTTATTTCGACTAGGCACGTTTTGACCGTATCAAATTATATATACCCTATCTAGCCATATGGATGAGGGTATAATAATTATTTAAAATTGCGATTCTTTCAGGAAATTCGTCATCCTTTGGAATTTGCTAATAATACAGAGTATAACTTCTGTTATACTCGTAGACTGAGGACCTGAGTCTGTTGGTAACTTGCTGTAAAGTTCAATAGCGGTAATCCTTTTAAATTCGTAGGAAGTATAAATCCTCTATTAACTAGTCTCCTTCTCCGTTTCGTTTCGATGATTTTTTGGCTTGCTCGCCCATAGACCTATTAAACAATTGGCAATAAACGTTTGGAGAAGTTATTATTTGTAATTAATTACAGCTATAGTGGCACGCTTCAATACTTCTTCCTTTTCCCAAAACATGTTATCCGTATCGGCATCTCTGCATTCTTTTAGTTTAAAGTGCAACAAAAAAAAAAATCGAATTATTATTAAAACATGCAGAAAATAACGGTAACGTACTTAAATCCTCAAACTAAAACAAAATATGTAAGGGGAGTCAAAAAAAAAAAAAAGAAAAAACCACAAAACGGAACAGAAAAGTTGAAAAGTAATGCTAAACTACTGCCATAAATTAAATATGCAGAAGTCCGTTCGTTATGGTTCTAGTTGCCTTCCACTGGTGGGGTGGGGTGTGTTGTTGCTTCTGTTGTTTGCGTTGGACATCATGAAGTTTGACTGCATGCCACCGATATTTTATCGCCCAACCAATGTATGCACATGTTGCATGTTGATTCCGTTGCAAATGTTGATGTTGGTCGGTGGGTATCATGCAACGCAAACAGCAACACAGTTCTCTCTTCCTTTGTTGTTCATGAATGAAAGCTAACTGAAGATTATTGAAAATATTCAGACATGTAAACGGAAAATGAATGAATGACTGACTGAAAGCATGAAAGTTTCTAGTGTCCGTTCCAAGAATACCCGCGTGCTAACTTCTAAGTCTCGCGTGTGTTTGTGGGGGTATGTGTTCGAAATATCTACGAGGCATAAGAACAGTTGTAAAATAGGCAAAATAGCGATACTGTTCAGCTGACATGTTTAACTGGTTTTAATGGACAGTGGACCGAGTCAAATATTGTAAAGTATTGTTCTCGTAGAACTCATAACGTACTTCGAAGGTTTTCTACCCCGGTAGGGAACAACAAAATAAATCTTTCCTTGGATGACCAAAATCTAAAATAAAATATTAAGTATAGTTAAGTAATCTCATTAGTTCAGAAACCAATCTATTTTGAGCTGAACATATCGCAATATTCCATTCAAGAAGAACTTAAATCGTAACAGAAAGAAAATAGACTCCAAAGAGCTAAAAAGTTGCTTCGCTTGGCCGAAAGTGGTGAACAGCCGAATTTGG